TCTTTCTGCCCTACATTAATACTATTATATAGGGAAAACTACAATAAAGTCCCTACATATTGATCTCATAATCGATTTAGTCCCTATATATTTTTTTTATTCAATTAAGTCCCAATTAATCCTTTGATCCGGTCAACAGGTTATCCAACTTTCAAAAATTACATTTTTGGCCCAGATTTCAAAATTTATTACAAATTTGATCCAAAATTTACACTTTTGGCCCGGATTTTAATTTTTTTTTACAAATTTGGTCCAAACTTTACCTTTTTTGCCCAAATTTTAGAATTTTATTATGAATTCATCCTAATTTTAGTTTTTTTGCAACTTTTTTTTTCAAAAAATTGTTTCTAATATGTTTTTTCTTTATAAAATCATATTTATACAAAAAAAAAATGTATTTTCACATAAAAATCTTATATTTTCTATATAAAACTTTTTTTAAAAAGTTTTTTGTATATGAAATATCTAGTTATAAAAATATGTATTTATTTAGTATATAAATATATATAAATTTGTTTTTATAAAAAAATGTATACACACCTATCACCTTTATATATATATATATATATATGCACACAAATAGGTGTGTATCTATATTTTTTTTATTAAATCGTGTTTGTATATGAAATATTTAGTTATAAAAAAACTTTCTTCAAAAAGTTTTTGTATATGAAATATTTAGTTATAAAAATAAGTATTTATTAAGTATATAAATATATAGAAATCCGTTTTTATGAAAAAAAATGTATACAAACACCTATTTTATCTATTTTTTTTTTTTATAAAATCGCTTTTGTTTATATTTTTTTTTATAAAAACATGTTTGAATATTTTTTTTATATAATACGTGTTTGTATACATTTTATAAAATGTATACAAACACGATTTTATAAAATATATACAAACACGTATTACATAAAAACTTATTTAAACACGTTTTTATAAAATGTATACGAACACGTATTATATAAAAAATTATTCAAACACGTTTTTATAAAAAAAATATAAACAAACATGATTTTATAAAAAAAATATAGATACACACCTATTTGTGTGCATATATATATATATATATATAAAGGTGATAGGTGTGTATACATTTTTTTATAAAAACAAATTTATATATATTTATATACTAAATAAATACATATTTTTATAACTAGATATTTCATATACAAAAAACTTTTTAAAAAAAGTTTTATATAGAAAATATAAGATTTTTATGTGAAAATACATTTTTTTTTTGTATAAATATGATTTTATAAAGAAAAAACATATTAGAAACAATTTTTTGAAAAAAAAAGTTGCAAAAAAACTAAAATTAGGATGAATTCATAATAAAATTCTAAAATTTGGGCAAAAAAGGTAAAGTTTGGACCAAATTTGTAAAAAAAAATTAAAATCCGGGCCAAAAGTGTAAATTTTGGATCAAATTTGTAATAAATTTTGAAATCTGGGCCAAAAATGTAATTTTTGAAAGTTGGATGACCTGTTGACCGGGTCAAAGGATTAAATTGAATATGATTACCGGTATTTGGGACTTAATTGAATAAAAAAAATATATAGGGACTAAATCGATTATGAGGCCAATATGTAGGGATTTTATTGTAGTTTTCCCTATTATATATTATATTTCTTCCCACTTCATCTTCTTCACAATTTTCACTTAAACAATATCATTTTTGTGAAACAATGACTTCTCTTTTCAGTCCAAATACTCCAAAAAATGCCAAAAGGAATACCCAAAACACAAACCTAATTTCACATTCTTTATCGAATTTCATTCAAAGCCAAAATGATCGGTCTATTTATTCACATCCAAATTTATATTTTGGTGGTGTTTACTATCTATATCAAGTCCAAATCCAACCTCAATACTATAACCAACCTCAATTTCAAAACCAATCTTAATTTTAAAACAAACTTCAATTTCAAACTAACCATAAATGAACCTTACATTCCAACTTTAATCGCAAATGGAAAATGACTTCAACCTATTTGACCATCTTCTCAACTTCCCAATAAATATTTAAACCCAATTTCAAACTTAAGGAGAACCTAAAGTCATCCCCGAAACGGATTTGGTTTGAGTGACTTTGATGAATTTTGAAGGATTTGAATGTAGAGTTCAGTCAAAACCTCCACTAGATCTAGAATTTAAGAATCCATTGAAGTTGAATCATATAAAAATACAGTTCATACAAAATTTCCCTCTCCCTTTTCGGTTCCGTTCTAACCTTTTAGGCTATGTCTGGCATACTAGTTGAAAAGCTAGCTGATAGTTGAAAAGTTTGTTGATAACTAAAATTTTATAGTTAGAGAAATGGTTTATGGTAATATTGTCCAAATAGTCCGACATGTTAGTTACGCTAGAGATGCTATTATCATTTTGATCATAACCACGTGGCATCTTATGAATAAACCTAAAATTTACATGTTTTCGCAATGATCATTTAATTTTTGATCATTGCCACGGGCTCAAACTTTTAGACTCTCCTAGGTAAGCCCACAAATCCCTTTTTTTTTTTTTTTTGATTTTTGGGATCAAACCTGTCTTATATACAAATATGTATTTCCCACAACCTACCTTGTATTGGATTCATAGTTTATATTTGTTGGCACTCATGTAAATTCCAGTTGCACTAAATATGAGGGACACTAAAATCACTACCATCACTATAAAACCTTTGCAAATAACTCCATAAAACCTTTGCAAATAACACCAATACTAATTATGCTACATGCCCCTCATGAAGGATCTAAATTGATCTATTGCCATAGAAAAACGATTTTGAAGTTTTATAGGACAATTAGGCTGTAGGGAGTTATGTCACATTTGTTATAGTTCAACTAGACGCCAACTAGAATTTGGCACATTGTCTCAATTCTTTGCCATTTATAAGGTGTGAGTTGCCATGCTTGTTACATTCATTTTTCTTTCTAAAATTAATTAATATTAAAATTAAAAATTTCAAACATATTATTTTTATAAAACCTAAAGATTCATTAAACTAGAAAATAAAATCACAACAAAAAAAAACATATAATTTAAAATGACAACACACATAAAAAACATAGAATTTAAAATTATAAAACCTAGAAATTTAAAACAGGAAACATAGAAATTTAAATAACAAAACCTAGATATTATATTTTTTTGCAATCACCTCTTTGACCTTTATTGTCAATTCTTTTTAGTAAGATTGCTAGTGTTCATTGTTAATATTGCCATGACACATATTTTGTCTTTTTCTTGTGCAATCACCATGTATTGCTCCAACGTCGACTTCAAGTTGTCAATTTTCCTTTTCGCTTCACTTGTCATCGCTTTTCCTTTTCGCTTCCCTTGGTTTCTTCCCATTGGACAAGTGGCTCTTGGAGCCTCAAAAGGCTCATCTTCATTGATGCCAATCCTGACATTCGCATTAGACGATTAACTATGTATTGTTTCAAAAGTTTTGGTTCTTTTGGAAGAACCACCCGTGAAAGTTTTAGAAGTTTTGATCTATTGCTATTGTTGTTGTTTTTGTTTTGTTTATTTTTTTTGATATCTTGACGACATTTCAAACATGTAGAAATTTGAAATTCGTCCCTTTCTGACTCTGGTATAGCGTAAGAGCTTTTTGCAAAAAAATTTCGTTATTTGCACCACTTTGCCATTGCCGTTTGACAATAGAAAACAACCGCATTAAACTCCATCACAACTAGTGGTGCCATTGCCGTTTGACGATAGAAAACAACCGCATTAAACTCCATCACAACTTTGTTAACATTTCTTCACTTTGAGTAAATTTGATCATTTTTCATGTTGTCTCCATAATTCATTTTCGTGAGAAAACGCTTAGTAATTTTCTGGAAAAAGGTAGGACGATCTTGGTTCTTTCCGACCTTTAGATCTTTAGAAACATCTACCCATGTATGAGCCAACGTTGTTTCCTGGTCCATAGTCTATTGCCTTGGAGCCGCTTTTCCACTTTTCTTGGGTTGTGGTCGAATCTCTTCCAGCTCCGAAACCTTTTCGGGGATGACTTCAGGTTGTGTTCGAGTTTGGAATTGGGTTTGGGTATGGATTGAGGAGCCGGGAAGATCGACAAATGGGTTGAAATCATTTTCCATTTGCGATTAGAGTTAAGATGAGTTTGGAATTGTGGTTGATTTTGGAATTGAGGTTTGTTTCGAACATGATATGGATAGTAAACACCACCATAGTGTAAAATTGGAGGTGAATAAATAGACCGATCGCTTTGACTTTGGACGAAAGGAGGTGACTTTGTGTTTTGGGCAATGTTCTAAATAACGTTAGATGTGGCTTGGTGACAATATCATGCCTCAAGTTTTTACGAGCCTTAGTGATCCACGTCGTTTGTAAAGCGTGACTCAAAACGAAAATTTTGTATATAATTGATAATTTTATATGTATTTTGAACTATTATTTATTTTTATATACATATATGATTGAAGGTGACAATTTGATCTTTTTAAAAAAGAAAATAGTAAAAAATGAGGCAAACAAAAACCGACTAAATTTCAAAACCCTCAAACACCACACACTCTCTCTCATTGACGTGTTTCTAACCGAGTCGCTGAACCGGGCAAGTATATGGCCTAGTAGTGTTCACTGAGCACACGTTGGATTTGCCAAAGGCCTCAGCGAGCATTCGTAGGGGTGTTAAAAACCTTTATGGGGCCCGTTTGTGGATACTTTTACAAACTTTTGGAATTTGGGCATGGGTTGGGATGGGAAATGGGGTGCCATATTTTCTAATTTACCCCTAAGTTAGACCACCATCCCATACAAGACTTGAATTAACGATTTATATTGAAGGACACCATGCACCAATACACACCCTAGACTACTGGTTTGTATTCGAATCACTTGCCAAATTACACTAAATCCTCTATTATCTTATTATTTGACAATAAAAACACAAAAAAGTTGAAAACTTTCTTCCTATCGCACTTCCTAGAGGAAGGCGTATAAAACCAGCAAAAGATCATGAACACAAAATGAAAATGCTTATTTTAATTTGTGACCCCACACTACTTTTTTTTTTTTTTTTTTTTTTTTTTTCACTTCACCATGCTGCGCTTGTCTTCCTTCCTCTTTTATTCCCACCACCATACAACCGAAACAAGCTAAACGCCGATAAACCAGAAACCATCACCATACTCACACAAACAATCACCGAACTCCCGATCCCTTCACCAACCTGGTTACAAAATTTATCATACATATCACATATCTTCATCCACTGAAGCTCCGCCTCTCCAAGTTTTGCAAACGCCGCCGATTGTGCCGCGGCCCCTACTGCCGCCACCGTCATGTACGCCATCACCTGATCACCGGAGAAGATTACCCACGCCAACGCCTTGTTCAACACCACACTGCCTCTTATCATTCCCACCACACACCTCACTATGTGTATCAACGAGTACGCCGCCGCTATCCCATTCGCCACCACCAAAAACCTGCATTCAATCTCTTTCTTTTTTTAACCTATAAAAAATTAAACTCGATCAAGAAGAAAATGACTGACTTACTCCAGAGATTTCATGTCTGTGAATTTGGCTTCCTTTCGAACGGTGAAGATTTCTTTCACCTGAGTATCGGTAGCCACAAGAACAGCTGCGACAAGAGCCAAACCGCAAATCACACTTCTTAATATTAACTCCGCCACCCTTACCCGCCGGTCAACCACCTTCAAATCGCTGCCGTGGTACACCGGAACATTCCCCGGACTTACTCCGACACCCAAGTAACTCATTTCTTCTCTAGGGTAGTGAGTGCTAAGTGGAGGTTGACACCCAAAACGTTAATTAAACCACCCAAAAGTGGGATCACTTAAATAGACAACCCACCTACTACCATTTTCCTATATTTATATAATAAATATAAAATTTTAAATACATATTTTTTTACTTTATTACACGTGTCTGTTACATGTTCCTTTTTCATCATCTGCATCATCATGAGTTATGGCATTAAACCAACAATATTATGTTTGTGTTAAAAAATAAAAATATTTGTACACATGTATATACCAAACACCCTCGTTTTCTAAAGAAATAAAACGCTCAAGTGTGTGGTTTGGGACAAGTTATAGATTTTTAAAACACAAATTCCTGTAATTTTACTAAATATAGAAAACGAATATTGGATCTTTAGTAACGAAAAATTACATGAGAATGGCAATGGTGATGTAGATTTCCACATGGAACGTGCACTTTAAAAACAGTACATACGTCAATATTGCGTCATTTTCTATTCTTTACAAGCTTTTACATATGTCATGTAACTTCCTATTATTTTTCGAAAAGTATAATGAATGTATTGTTATATCTGGTCATATGACTTATATCCATATTTATTCTGAGAATGTTTATGTAACCCGTAACCAAGTTTTTGCAAACTGGTAAGAAATAATCAAATAATAAAAGATCTTTAAGGCTTGAATGAAAGAAAAATGACTTAGGAGGGTAACTACCTCTTATCCGTGTTTACATATTAACAACTTATTCTTTTTTGTACATAATAAAGCAACTAATTAGGAAGGTAACTACTTTTTATTTGTGTTCGCATATTGATAACTTCTTATTTTTTGTACATAAGAAAACAACTAACTTGTTTTAAGTATGTAACATTTCAAAAATCATGACCAAAAATTTCGTTTTTAATTTAATACTAAAACCATAATTGTCAAACCATTAATTTAATACTCCGGCATCGGGTCCCACCCGACATCAGACCCTGCTTGGCATCGAACCCCGCTCGATATACATATATGTCTCTCTTAGGTCCCGCCTGTTTTCGGGTCCCACCCGCTAAACACATACAATCATATAACATGCTAACACATAAAGAAACATACTCTACTGTATCTCTGTCCTAAAAAACATACTCTGCTAATAATGAGATACGGAACCTCGTCCATACTCAGCTAGTGATGAGATACGGGACCTCGTCCACACTCACCTCCCTACCAGATAAATACACGTATCACACATACAACAAGTATAATCTAACATGCAAACATTCCTCGGGCACCCGCCCGACATCGGACCTTGGTTCGGAATAACATACTAGCATATAATGCCTAGGGCTAACCCTCAGTTCTTCCTACTCATAGGCTACATGGGCTGGTATTGTGGCCTTAGACCTATTCACACAGTGAGGAGACTCACATTGCACTGCTGAAGCCCTGGCTGGAACTAGTTGAGTACGGGCGAAGTTCCATATCTCATTATTAGCAGAGTATGTTTCTTAGGACAGGGATACAGTAAAGTATGTTTCTTTATATGTTAGCATGTTATATGATTGTATGTGTTTAGCGGGCGGGGCACGGAGACAGGCGGGACCTAAGAGAGACAGATCTGTATATCGAGCGGGGCTCGATGCCAGACGGGGCATGATGCTGGGAGGGGCCCGATGCCGGATAGTTAAATTAATGGTTTGACACTTATGGTTTTAGTATTAAATTAAAAACGAAATTTGTAGTCATGATTTTTGGGATGTTACACAGTTAAAACAAGTTAGTTGTTTTCTTATGTACAAAAAAGAACAAGTTGCCAATATGTGAACACGGATAAAAGGTAATTACCTCCTAAGTCATTTTCCCTTTGAGTTACCGGTTAAAACAGACGTTAGCCGGTAATATTGGTATATTTTAAACAGTTAAAACAAGTTAGTTGCTTTATTATGTATAAAAAAAAGAACAAATTACCAATATGTGAACACGGATAAAAAGTAGTTACACTCCTAAGTCATTTTTCCTTGAAGGAATCGATAAACTTCAATTTAAATAATTTGTATTAAAGTTAAAAATAAAAATAAAAACGGAGAATGTTTGATTGGGCCGAGAAGAAGGGGATTTAATGGAAGCTTACCTCATTTTGGAGTAATAAATTCTGACACATATGCATGGGCAGTAGTTACAACATTTAAGTAAAGTTAAATATGTTTTTATTTTTTTCATTTTACTTAAAGAGGTTGAGGTCCTTGTCCCAAGAGAAAATAGAGAGGGCTTAGATAAGGGGAAGAATTCTGTCGATCTTTTCCTATGGAAACAAAAAATAAATAAGGAGATTCCGGAATTATTAATTTATTCTTGGTTTGAATATAAGTATGACTAGTGGGAATGCCGTATATTGTAGGGAAATCTAGTAATTTAACCCATATAAAAATGATTACTTTAATAATAACAATTAAATTATAATTTTTTTTTTCGAACTTTAGAATATAGGACTGATAAACTCAATTTCGGAGTATGGTAGTCAGCATTACGAAATCACGGACACACATTCTGGACTCCAAAAAACAACATTTTCTATCTTATATATAAATGGTATCCCATGCTCTTAGTTACTTCCGATCATCTGTAATTATCTATTATAACCACTTAAAAATGAGTTTCATTGACCACAAAGAAAGCTTTACCAACCTCTTATTTACTTACACAACATTTGGCAGACCAACCTTTATAGTTACCCCAACATCATCACGTCATCTTCCAACTTTGTTTTGTGACTTTTGGATGTGTGTTAGACCGATGACAACCATAGCATCCTTAATGGTAATCCAAGCCTGAACGAATGCGATATCTTCTTGTGTAGTGTAAGTCCCAAATCTGATTGTGTATCAGTCAGATCCGTTTGATGGTGCGGAATCCCAATCAAGCGGATGATGCCAGATCAAAATGAAGAAGGAGAAGAAGAACAATATGAATCTTTTGTGATTTGATTAGAATGGAATGATGCTCTTTACACAAGATTCACTTTGTCTCTCTTAAACACACCTTAGAATACAAACACTTAAGCTCCTCTAGCTGTAAACTCCTCACCCACCTAACATCTATATATATGACACATGGGCCGTGAATGGGTTCACGACCATGAACCCATTCACGGCCGTAAACACAACCGCAAACACCTATTACATGACTGAAAAATACATTTTGCTAGAAAAGTAAAATATAAACCAATATTTTTGACTCAACAATCTCCCCCTTGGTTTATAGCTTTCTTTTCTAATTGACCCAACAAGCCCCCCCCCCCCCCCCCCCCCCAAAAAAAAAAAAAAAGTACCTGACTTTTCTTGTCAATCTTCATTGGGAGCTTGGCTTAAGCATTAATCTTCAAATTCTTCACAACTTCAAGATGAACTTGATGAATCTTCAATGAATGACTTCATCTTGAGCAGTTGGGGTTTTTCTTCAGAATTTGACTCTGAACGCACGTTGGGTGAGGAGGCTTCTTAAAAATATTAATGAAAGATGGTGCTTTCAGCTTGAGAATCTTCAGAGAGAACAATAGAGAGATCTAAGTACAAGAATAACAACAAATTGATTGAGGAGGCTTCAATGCAATCTGACACATAATCTTCAAGTCAGCTTCACCTTGCTTCTGGGGTAGAAAAATTGAATGTTGAAAGAATAGTTTTCATTTCTTGCTCATTCGAATGAGAATTCTTCGATGATCACGGATGAAACCTTGGCTCAAAAAATCTCGATACACACTCCATGAGTCTTATCTACATCTGAATTTATTTTTCAATACAAAACAAAACTAAAAGAAAACTTAGCATAGAATATCTTAAATTTATTATTATTATTATTATTATTATTATTATTATTATTTTATTTTTTATCTGAACAAGAAATAAAACAGAAATAACACTATTTTTGGATTTGTAAAGTTTGGATTTTTGTTAGATTTTTGATTTTTTTTTTTAATTCTCCCCCTGAATTTGTGCATAGAGGAAAACTATGAACACATTTAACAAAACCAAAATATTTAGGATCAAAGTTGTGAGACAATCTTAACTTTGTTAGTCAGTACTGATATTGCCATATTCATACATGTTTTAAGGCAATATTTATTTACATTTTTATTAATATCTTGATTATTTGCATAGAATAATGGTACTCATAAGCTTAATTTATATATTGCAGCCAAATAAAAGACATTTTGAAGAAAATGAACTAAAAGCGTCAAAACATGGAACTTTGGAATATGAAGGCTTAAAAGAATGAAAAACCCACGATATCAGCTATATTCACGACGTGAACCACAAGTTCATGACGTGACATGAGAATTTTGGAAGATAAGTATGTGAGAAGTAATAATCATTGTCCGATAAGGATTTCTCCTAATTCACGACGTAAAGTGCAAATTTTGAGAAACTATATATACTCTTGCTCATTACGACTTGAGAGACTATTGGCTGATTGAAGAAGTTCCTGGAGACGATTTTCAGAAGAGGAGAAGGTCTGGAAAAGGATTTCAACACCAAAGGCGAAGAAAAGTTCATAAATTCACTTCAGATTTGGTACTGTTCAACATGCTTATGAATATGTTTTGTGTTAACTTGTTTGCTAGGATGTCCAGCTAAATCTAGTTGCTTCTGTTAGCTAGATGAAGCTGGAACTCATGGATTTAATATTTTAGAATTGATGTACTTGTTGGTTATGACTTGTGTTGATTGATTTTACCTAGCATGCTTGATTTAGTATTTGACTACTTTTAATTCTTGTTCTGTGTAGTTAGTGATTATTAATCTGCATGAATTAGAATACATGGTAATTTAGTGAACATTAAATTATTAGAGCTAGGATCACGAGTCTTAGTTAAGCAGTTAAGTATTGAATTAGGCTGTGCTAGAGAACTCATATTATGGCCGTAATTATGTTTTGTTAATCAATCTTACATAACTCCAATTCATAACATAATTGATTCAGTGCTAACTTAAGTGTGAACATACTTTGATTTACATGAATTAATTAATATTAGTAGATTTAGAATTAAACTGCTAATACCATCTTAATTGGTATCCAACAGTAATTACTATATCTGATTAATAAACCATTGAGGGAAAGCGGATTCGAACTAACAGAAGTGTTTGTTTATTGATTGAATTTGAATTAAGAATTAA